AATAAAAAGTTCAGTTGCAAATCAAAGTACCCATTACAGCATAGTCACATTGACTAGTAAAGGATGCACTCACTTTGATCAGCTTTATATTTCAAAATAAAGGATACTGAAACATCTGAAAGTATAAAAGTAACACGCTTACTGGCAATAAAAATGTAAGATATTAATGACAGCAGAATTTGGGTGTTGTAGTTGTCTGTAGGAACTTTACATAGTTGCTATTCATTTCTCCATAAGCCCCAAACTACCAAAATTTAAGTATAATAATTATTTTTTAAAGTTTTTTGTAATCCTACAACATCATGGGAATAAGCATTATTAACATGTGATAGCACAATCTTGCACTGTTTATTTTTATTAGTCTCTGTTCACTTAATGAGAATTTGCTATTTCTATAATTTAGCCCTTGCATCTTCCCTCAGCAAATACCTTCACAAAGATGCTACCGTTTCAAACTAATGTGTGAATAGGATTTGACATACACACCTTTATTTTATAATATACAAATATTTCTCTCTACATGTGCTATTTATGTTATACATATTATATACTTTAATAATTTTGTATGTATACAATTATATACATATATAAAAACTCTGTGAATATACTGACTTTTTTTAAAAAAACCCTCCAAACCCTTGTTTCTAGCTTCCTTTTACCTGCCTCTGTTTCCCCCCGCTCTCTCTGCCTCAGCAGTACTTTATTGATAGAGAGATAGATAGATCCTTTTTTTTCCATTTAGCTTTTTATTTCCTCTGGTGTGAGTGATGTTTTCTGTGACCCTGAGTGTACTTCCTTTAGGCAGAACACTGAGTGGCCACAGTGGTTATAAGCATAGGCTCTGAGACAGATTGGGTTCCAGTTAAACATCAGTATCTACCAACTGGACCTTTTGCAGGTTACTTACCCTGCATGTGCCTTGGGTCCATAGAAGTAAAACGACAGTCATAATAGTTCTTACCTCAAGGTTATTGCAAAGATAAAACTAGCTGGTTCACGTGAGCTGTTTAGAATGGAACTTAACAAATAGTAAGAGCTCCATACATATTAGCTAATCGTTTTTAAGACTAAGACAAGAATGGCATTTTTAGTAATTTTGCACATAAAGAGCTTGGGGAAGTTAGCACAGACACTTAGCACAGACACTTCTATTATATACATAAAGTGAAGGTGGAAAATAATGTCAACTGAAAAGTCTACCAGGGAAGTCTTTGTCTCTCTGATACCCTTTTCTAGTTTCTCCCACAAAATATACATTTCTGTTAGAAGTTAGGTCAACAGAAGACCTGAACTTGATACTGGGCCTATTTACCCTCTGTCAGATCAACTGTTGGAATGAATTCCAGAGCTGAGGGCATGGTCCGGACACCCAGCTTTCTTCTTTATTCACAATTCAAACCTTCTGGCACTGGCTTGTTTTATCAAACCTGAGTGGGTCAAGGAGTGTAGGAGGAACCAAAACTCAGGCACTCAAGATTTAAATCTCAGAGTGCCTTATTCAGTTAAAATCTTATACGTGCAATTTCTTTTAATCACTTATTTGAAAACAAAATTGGCTAGTATAGATTAGCAGCATAGTATGTGGTCAATCCTGTCTTAGTTAACTCCAGCTGGTGTACAAGATACCAGCTTTAGCAATAAACACTCATTTCTCATTGTTCAGGAGGTTGTTATTTTGGAAAGTGTTGATGGTACATCATTGTATTTTTAACCATAAATCATACAGGAACACTCTGGGTAAAAAGAATAATAGTAAATATTACAAGATGTGAGTTCTAATCCTGACTCCACCAGTGAGGAGTCAAGATCAGAGGTATCATAGATTTGATTCTTAGTGAGGGGCCTCTTTCTGGCTTACAGACCATTACCTCTTGCCATCTCCCCATTGTATCACTCACCATTTATGGCATGCTGCTTGAAATATATTTCCATCAGGGATTAGGGCTTCAATATATGAATTTGAAGGGTCACAAATATTCAGTCCATAACAAACTTTAAGAAAGATATCAAGCTTTCCATAATATTTCATGCTAATGTAATGGAGTCCATGGCTTAAAAGACATCAGTGATACCAGAGCAAATTCCCATAAGTCAATGAAAAGAAATTCACTAAAACTATTTGACTATTTGACTTGAATATTCCATGGCACTTTGTGTAGTTTTTGTATTAAATTCAGAATCATACCTGTGTTGAAATTTTATATTTGATAAAGTCTTACTTCCTAATTGTAGCTGTAATTCTTGCCTTACTAAAATTCATGTTAAAAATACACCAGCAAAGATGTTTTTCTAGCTGCCACTTTGATCTCATTTCAAGCAAATCTTCTGAGAGCAATGCCTATATCTACATCTGAGGTTTCTCCCTCTCACTCTCTTGTGAACCCACTCCATCAGGTTGCCTCCTCTACTCCACTGACTCAGAGCTGGTGAGGATAACCAACTTCTGATGTCTTCTCTTGGCTAAATCTCAACTCTCACCTTACCTGACATGTCAGCAGCATTTAAAACAATCAGTCCTTGCCTTCTTGACACATGTTTTACACTTGGCTTCCTATACTTACACTCCCTTGGTTGTCCCCATCCTTGGAAGTCCTTCCCTGTCTCCTTTGTTCCTTTATCTCCCTGACTTCTCAATGCCCTGAAGTGAGTCCCTGGACTTGTTTCCTTCTTTATCTGCAATCCCTCCCTCTGCCATTATCCTCTGAGTCATAGTTTTACATAGTACTGCCAGTGGACTCCCAAGTGTATATTCCTCATCTGGACCTCGCCACTGAAATCCAGGATTGTATACCCAGAAACTACATGGACATTTCAACTTGGATATTTAAAAGACACCTAAATTTTAAAATATACAAAATGTACCTCAGGTTCCATCAATCTGATTCTCCTACAGCCTTCCCTTACCCTTATAAACAGCAATTTTATCTTTCCAGTTAGTCAATAAAACTTAGAGTCATCCTGGATTCTTCATTTCCTCTCCCATACCACATCTGATCCATTAGAAAGCTCTTTTGGTTCTTCTTTGGTAATATATCCTGTACACAACAATATCATACAACCTCTACTGCTACCTTCTAGCCATCTACAATGTCTTGCCTGAATGGTTGCAAAGACTGATAACCAGGCTGTTTGCTTCAGCTCCTGGGACTTAGTGTCTGTCTTACAGCAGTCAAAACTTATGTTCTTAAAATATGTCACATAATACTATTCCACCCCATTCATAAAGAGAGACTAAATGTGCAAATAGACAAAAATCAAACAACATTAAAATACAGCTCTGACCCACAACCTATAGCAATCAGGAAACCAAACCACAACCCTATAGAAATCATTCTAAGATGATCAGAACTTGATCTGACATCTTGTATAATATTTGTTCCTACTTCCAACTCTGAATAAAACTGAAAGACCCAGATATACACACCTGAATAATCCCCATAGGATGCCCTACTTCTAGTCAGCTTGCTACAGCTTTCCTAGTCCACAGCCTTCAGTCAAGGCATGCCCTAACCTCCCTCTTTCCCATTATGAAGTGTTCCCACTTTTCTGACTGCCTTTTAGTCTGTCAAAACACAAGTGAACGTGGTCAGTTCCATTGCTATAGTAATCTTTGAATAAATAACATTTGCTTGTTCTCACCCCACTGGTGGTCTTTGCTTATTTCCATTTCTTAGTCAGAGTAAATTCAAAGCCCTTCTAATATTCCTCAAGGTTACTTGAGATCCATCCACCATCTACCCTGCTACCACCTCTGTAGTCTCGTGTCTTAACCTCTCCCTCTCCAATCTGCTCAGACCACATTGACCTTCCTTGAACATACTTGACACAACCTAACCCAAGACCATTTTCATATCTTGCCTATAATTCTCTAAGTTATTCACAAAGGGCACTTCATTGCTACCATTTAATCTCAGCTCAAATATACCTCTGTCAGAGATTCTTTCAGTGACTTTCCTACATATAGACCCTCCATCCCCACATGCCCAGTCCCAGCCTCCCTGTCACCCCTTGCACACATTACCTTCTTCATATCATGACACCCTGAATATAATATGTACCTTCACATGTGTTTATTTCGGCAATCCTTCCCACCCCTCAGGCATGAGGCCAGATACGTTGGTTACTTCCATATCCACTATGCCAACTACTGTGCTTGGCAAGTTGCAAACACTCCATCAATGTTTGATTGATCAGGAGTTAGTTAAACAATCTTATACTTACATTACAACATTTTAAAAATGAATGTGTCAGTCAGAGTGCCAGGAGGAAACAAATGACATACTCAGAATGAGAAATTTTAAAAGAATTTAATCTCATGACTATTTTACAAAGATGAGGGAAAGACTCTAGAGATTCCCAGATATAGTAGAATACCCAGGGCTAGTAAGTGCCTTGGCCATCTCCACCTCTATGCTTGAGGGACCCAAGCATAGAGAGGGAGTTGGATCCCAGCAGGCACACTGGCCTATAGTTGGGGGTGCAGACAGCTCTGAGTGAAAAGAATAACAATAGACATCACAAGATCTGAGTTCTAATCCTAACACCACCGGTGATTGTCCTCGACAACTAAGTTCAACTGTGAGAGCCTGAGGTCCCCACCTGTAAAGTATTAGTACAAAAGGGATTCCAAGGTCTTTCTACCCCTCAGGATGTTCCACTCTAGGGGAAAGTGTTAATCTGTGTTCAGAGAACAAAGTTGGATTTAAAAGCACTGTGTCAGTAGCACCGGGGAACTGAAATATAAAGCAACAACTGGTGAGAAAAGCCACATTGGATTTTCTGTGTAGTTTTTAAAATTCGCTGGCCCAGAACATGCTCACTTCATACCTACTTCTTTTCCCCTTTCCTCCCTCCTTCTCCTCCCACTGTGCTATTCTAAAAGAATATGCGAAGGGGAAAAAAATCAAATCACTAGAGCAACTTTAATTTGCAGAGGATTGTTTCCTAGATAAGCAGCTCAGACTAATATTGCAGTGGCTGTACTTGTGTTTTCTCCTTAGAGTCTATGGTGTTCATTCCCCAGTCTGAATACTCCATCGAAGAAGACGTGGGGGAGCTGTTCATTCCCATCAGGAGGAGCGGGGACGTCAGCCAGGAGTTGATGGTGATCTGCTACACACAGCAAGGTATTTGCAAAAAAACTAAAATAGTCCCCCAAATAGAAATAAGCCTCTAACATGTTAGTGCCGTGACATTTTGCCATGAGGCATACTTTATTATGAGGTTTTTCAAAGATACAAAAAAATTCCATTAATTCAGCCATTTTCTCCAATACTGCACCTCTGAGGACTAATCCAAGAGAGTGTGGAAGGAATCTGCTTCTGCTCACCACAAACATTTCTGTTTCCTTTCCTTACCTGAAGCTTTTCAAATTGCATGGAACTGAAGCCCACCCAAGTCTTTCAAAGAAAAGAGGATTATTGTTTTAAAACAGGAAAAATAAAAGAGCTGGGAGTGGTAGTGCACACCTGTAATCCCAAAATTCCAGAGTCTGAGGCAGGAGGATGAAGTTCCAGACCAGTTTGTGTTTCATAGCAAGACTTGTCTCAAAAAATCAAGGGCTGGGGGTGTAGCCCTTGCTGAGCATGCTCAAGGCCGCTTAAACAATGTTCTGAAGTTTTAAAAATCATAAGAGCATATTTAAAATTTAAAAACTACTTTGAAACTCATTGCAAACAAATTTCAAAATATTTGTTTTGCTCATGGGTAAGAATCCTAGAAAAGGTGGGCTTATGTAAAAAAAAAAAATAAGATTCATACCTAATAGTCACTAATTCACTAGGAAAACAGTAGATTTGCCAAGAATGGAGAAGAAATAGTCACATATTTCATTGATGCCTGAGTAGATCTTCATTAAAGTTTTCATTAATATGTATGTGAATTGAAAGCCAGGACAGAATAGTAATTAAGAACAGACTTCAGGATTAGCCTTGAGATCTGTGTTCCCAGAGCAAGTAGCTTAACTTCTGCACACCTCAGTTGCCAAATGTGTAAAACCTAATGGAAGGTTGAGAGGATTAATGAAGCAAGCATGCACTTGGCCCTTGGCCGATACATAATCAACATCTGAATGTAAAAGCTGTTATTTTGTAATACTGTGTGATCTAAAAGTCCATTGACAGGAAACACTGTGTTTAAACACTGGAAAGTTTAATGTTCCCCATAGGTTTGAGTTCATTCTGAAATTGAATCATGACACTAGAATAGAACATGGCTGCTAATACAATTTCTGGAATGTTCATATATAGTGAGGACCATGGCAATGCAGCAGGTGAAAATAAAAACCTTCTGGACTTTCTCTACCCTCAGGAACAGCAACCGGAACTGTGCCGACCTCCGTGTTGTCTTACTCTGATTACATATCCAGGCCCGAGGACCACAGCAGTGTTGTCCGCTTTGACAAAGACGAGCGGGAGCAAATGTGTCGTGTGGTCGTTATTGATGACTCCTTGTATGAAGAGGAGGAGACCTTCCATGTCCTTCTGAGCATGCCCATGGGTGGGAGACTCGGATCAGAGTTCCCACGGGCTCAGGTTACAATCCTTCCTGACAAAGATGATGGTACGTACTAATTTACCTCGAAATTCTTCACTTACTGACAGCACACACAGCTTTCTAGACAGAGAAAAAAATGAGAATCGAACAGAATCATAACGTTAACATTTACTTCACACTTGATTTTATAATGTGATTAAGGTTCACACTTGGCTGCCTCAGTTAATTCTTCCTTCTTGATTTAATGTGTCCGAAGGGCAAAAGCCATACCTATGTGCATTTGTTCCTGTGTAATTTCTTTCACAATGCTATTTACCACTAGGAAATTACACTTTTAAATCTTTATGGTGAAGAATTGAGGTGATTTTAATAAACCTAATTTATTTCTCTTCCATTTGACTTTGCTTTTAAAAGCTCATATTTTGTAATTTTAACCTGTATTTTTCAAAGAAACACCTCAGACAAGGCTGTTAAATGAGTAACTGGAAAGGTAATAAATGTATGGAAAGTTAAATCCAACAGCTCGTTCTCAGTCCAATGAAGAGAAGTAGATATATTAGACCACTCTTTTCTAGGGAAACCAAATTACCATGTAGCAATGCCTTCAAAAGAAAAGGGGTCTTAGTCTTCCCAAATTCAAGAATCAGTCTGTAATTTATTATGAGGAAAGAGAGAATAAATAAAAGGTTGTAAATAATCTTCTGGTGCAAGCAAGAGCAGTATGCATAGAGAAAGGAATCCCTCTTTCCCCCATGTTGCACTGTTTTTCTTCCCCCCTTAACATTTTCCTCATGATGGATGAAAGAGGAAGGATGAGTCTTTCTGTTGGGAAGGAAGCCAGAGTCTCAAAAGACTTTAAGCTCAAATAATCTTAAAAGTCAGGAAATTGAAAATAATCTACTAATCTACCAGGAAAGTTCTTTGATACTTAAGGTATGAAGAGGAGTGAGAGAGATGAAGGTAGTCAGGTGTCTTGTGAGTTTATGCCCAGTACCAGGCATAGCCCTGGGTCCTTTGTACCTTGTTATGCTTTATTCCCCACAATCCTGCAAAATATGTAATAATGCCTACTTGTTTGATTTTTTTACAGAGAAAGTTTAAAAACACTGATGATAAAATTAGGAATGATTTCATCAAGACAGAATAGAAAAGAGTCTTGATTCTACCTTATACTTAGATAATGCAGAAGGTATTCTACTATTTTCAAATATTGCTTTAGTATTCTAGTTTAATAAAAAGAAGTTGTATTCTATATTAAAGTGCAGGAATTTTATTTTAAGTTAAATCAATCTTAGTGAGAGAGTGCCAGTACTTTCAGTGTCATCCAAAATAGATCTAAGAGTTCACACTAAAGGCTTATCATCTATTGGTGTATCTATATTGGCATAGATAAATCTAGGTTTAACTTAAAAATAGGAAGTCTAGGTTGTGGTATGGCTCAAGTAGTAGAGCACCTGCCTGCCAAGTATAAGACCCTGAAATAAAACCTCAGTATCACCAAAAATAAATAAGTAAATAATAAAAATTAGATACTTCAAGAGGAACACCTAAAAATTAAAAAAAAAATAGGAAGTCTAATTAACACCTACTATAGCCCAGATTGTTTTAAGAAAAAAATATTTTCTCTATATTTTGGACAAAAACCTCTTCTGTAAAGATTGTTATCATTCCACATATATACCACCCAATATACAGAAAGAGTCATGTCTTTATACCTATTTTACAGATGACAAGACAGATTTAGAGAGATGAAGTGATTGACTTGAACTCACAAGGGAGATTGGTACACGGTGACATGGCATCAGGGCCCCAAATGCATGACCATTCCATGCCATCACTCTGCCCTAAAAGCATCTCCTTAGTGGTGATAAGGTGGAGGTGCCACTTACTACTACATAGAATTTGCAACATATTTTATTATTATCAATGCTTCATCTGAGCTTTATTGTTCCTTGGCATAGACAGAGCAAGTAGCGCTATGAGTGGGGTAGCTGAAGCTCAAGTTGTACACCCTGGAACATACACAGAGTTGGTGACTTTTGCTTTCATGGGTTTTGAGTCTGAGGCTGCAAGTATTATGTGAACATTGAACCAGCAGTTTCTCAGAAAAGTACTCAGCAATAATCATTATCCTTCTTCATCACCCAACCTTACTCAATAGCTCAGAAACACCAGGTACTCTTCTCTGTTTTCTCCCATCTGTCCTTTCTCTTCCACTGCAGACACCCCTATTCTAATTCAGGCAGACCCTTTCCTTTCACATGTTGATTGTAATAAACTCCTTACAGATCCCACAGTCTTGTATCTCTTGCCATCCAAACCTTGGTTCCCATTTCCACAAATCTAATATTTCCTAAACTCATACTGTTCCTCAGTATATAACCTGAACTATCCCCAACAGTAAACTTTACCATCATCAAAGATAGGTACATTCCATTTCCCCAATCAAAAGCCAATAAAGCATAAGACAAAAGAACAAAAAATGTTGCTTTATCTTCTCTGCTGATGTAATGATTGAGAAACCTGTAAAGTCATTTCCTAATTAAGAGCAATATGTATTAATGTTATTCAACAAATATTGCAATTCTTTTTCCTAAAATACAATGACCAGTCCAGTTGAAGGACAAAGTGGGGGAGGAAAAACAAAAGAAGCAAAGAGAGAATCAATTTCATGAAAGCAAATCACAGCTAAGGAGTGAGGAAAAGATGCTATAGGAAATTAAGGAACAAAGTGAAAGCATGTCATATCCAAGGGAGTGAGGAAGGAATAAAACAGACAAAGGAAGCCCAGTAGAGTCTTTTCTATGTATGGCCAGTTCTGTCACATCCAGTTGCCCACTTGAGTGGTTATTCCCTTTCTTGATGGTTGTTTGAAATACCATTAGTAAAATAAACCCAGTTTACAGATCTTTAAGTGCTTTATTTTCAAATCTTTGAAAACTCAACTATAAGATTACTTTGTCCTACCAGAAGGAATTTTTCCTTGGACCAGGTAACACAGCAGATGGCGCAAGCTCCCCATGGGCTTCATCTTCTCCACCCTGAGGTTAAAGTTACAGTTATCCAGCTTAGCATTCAAAATAAGAAATCATTTTGTGGCAATCTGTCTGCTTTACCTTATTTATGCTATTTACCCATAGAACCCTTTTGGCTGAAGTACTTCAGAGTTTGTCCCAGTGGCTGAATGAGGATTTCTAGTATTTCAGTGAATAATACTCAGGAGACCTCCTAATACTTGAGAAATCAGAGATGATTATAGATAATAGATAGATATAGATATAGATAGGTATCTATCTATATATATCATATATATGATATATATATCATATATATATATATGATGTTACTCCTTTATAGAGTTAATAATATTGACTTAGAACCTGCACTTTGAATTCAATCATTTCTTTTTATTCACTCCTCTGTTTGTCTTTTTTTCCTGGACAGTTTTCAATATTATGTCTTTCTCTTATTTTATTATTCCTTGTAGGGCCTTTAATATGATGTTGATTGGAAGTACTAGAGCAGGCATCTTTGTATTTTTTCTGATTTGAAAGGAAATATATTAAATGGCTCACCATTTAGAATGATAAATTCTACTGGAGTCTAGGAACATTTTGCCAGTTCAGGAAATATCCGGCTTCACAAGACTTTTATCAGAAATAAGCATTAAATTTTATCAAAAAAAATTCTATACCTATTGAAATTATCATATAGTCTTTTCTCTTCACTGTATAATGAAATACACTTTTATATTTAGTAGCACTAAACCATCTTTACATACATGATATATTTTGCATATGTTAGTAGATTAAATTTATCAGTATTTTATTTAATGTTTTTGCAACTATAAGTGAAATAGGGCTCTAAGTTCATTATTTGTTTGGTTTTAGAATCAAATTTATAATAGCCTCATTAAATGAATAAGGATAATATCTTGTGTTTTCCTTATGGAAACTTTAAATAAAACTGAGATGATTCAGTTTTATGGGCTTTATAAAACTATAAATATATCCATATATTTAGCTAGATGTGTATATACTGTCACTTTTTTTGTGACAGTATTTAAATTTTCTTTTTCTTTTAAATTAGTTTTAAGAAGATAATTTTCTTAAGGAAATTCTCCATTCTCTTTCTCTTTTTTTTCCTATTCTGTTTCATCTGTCTTTCCATATATAAATACACACATACTTTATTTGTTTGAAACAAGGTCTTGCAATGTACCATTGCTGGCCTTGGACTTGCAGCTTTCCTCAACTTCCTGAGCACAAGTTTGCACATTTTATTAGGCTTTTTTCTTTAAGTTATTTTGGCTCTAGTTTTTCTTTAGGTAATTTCTATTACTTTCATTTTTTTATTTTTCTGTTGTTTTGGTTATTGTTTTGTTTTGTTTTTGTTTTTTGACTTATGATCTTGCCATATAGCCAAGGCTGGCCTTGAATTCTCAATCCTCCTGCATGTACCACCATGACTGTCTACATTAATTTCTGTTCTTCACTCAGATCTATCTTTCAGGTTGTTCTCTTTTTTGCAGTGTCTAGTTTGCTACTTAACCTACCCATTGAGGTTATTTGTTTCAATAATCATACTTTCATTTGGAGAAGTTCCGTGTGAGGTTGTGAAGTTTTTTTCTACTGTTGTTTTTCTTTCTATCATTCTTATTTTCTTTATATAATTTTTCCTTTTATGCATTTAGCAATTTGGAATACTTATTTTATAATATTTATTGTGCAATTTCATCATCAAATCACTGAAGATCTTAAAAAACCCAAATCTCCTCCAAATTGCTTCAGCTGTCTCTTTATCATGGTATATTTCCTTGAATATAAAAATTTGGGGTTATGAGCTCATTTTCAATGGGACTTTTTATGTAGGAAACATGTACAACTAAACCCTCAGGCTGGTCTTACATTTATACTCAAAGGACCAATTTCTATGTTAATTATCTTGTTATATGAGGATTTTCACTCCCAGATAGATAGTATTAATTAGAATCCAAAATACAATTGAAAAAGTTGTCCCCATCCAGAGTCTCAGAAGTAACAATAAACTCTGTTAGGGGTCAGTAG